AAATTGTTCTTGTTTATTATTGCATTTACTGAGCTTTGCAAGTAGTTCAACTGTTAGACTATTTATTTCATCTAGAGAAAATAAATCCGATTTGTTTTTGAGTTTGTTCATTAATAGATGAAACTCGAATTACTGGAACTAGGACTATTATTAATATTAGAATGATTCTGAGCTTTTAAATTCCTACCTTGTAATTTTGGGAAATTCATATCATAATTTGTATTTAGTGAAAATTGTTGTTTTTTAGCTCTGACATTTCTTGAGTTTTTATTTTTATATATAATTTTGTAATAAGATTCACGAAAAGGGCATATTGGATCACTTGAGGAATGATCTCCCTTACAATTATCAGATTTTTTGGGATTCTCATTATTGCTTTCTAAAGTACTAAGGTTGCCGGCACAGAATAAGCAACATGTACATACGTTACAGTAATCGGAACCGCGTCTATACATTTGGCAATTTGTACACTGTGTAACCCTTTTCGCATTATTTACTTTAAATTCCCAGTGAAACTTTGTGAATTTAATTACGCTGAAGTTCTGATTTAATTCTAATATTTTAATTGAATTTTTTCCGAAAAACGCGAGGTAAAGTGGAATTTCAGTATTAAATTTAATAACTAAATTTAAATAATCTTTGATAGAAATTTCTTTAATCACAAGACCAAATCTTTCACAAAATCACAAAACCAAATCTGTTTTAATTTTACCTGCAGATTTTAACAGAGTAATAGGTGGCACTTTTAGCTTTTCCAAAGTGTTATATAAAGATGTTTGTGGCTCTAGTTAGATGCACAGACATTTTTATATAAGACTTCACAATACACAATTTACTAAATCATACATACTGTGTATTGAAAATTGATCATCGTATTTTTTGTTGAGAAATATATTCTTATTTTAAGTATTTTCGAATAAATAAGAAATGTTCATGGTGATGTAGGATGTTTGAAAAATAAGAACGATTAAATACAAAATATATACAGAATTTATTTTATTTCATTTAAATAATAACAAAATTAAATTTTATGTTCTCACAGACTAGAATAATAAATTACAGGTTTTGTTACCTAAATTTTTAGGTAAAACAGAAAGGTAATACATTTAACAATTGTTTTACAAAAATTTCTGAATTCACTTTTTTTATTACAACATTTTTTTATTTACATAAAAAAGTAAAGTATTTATTTCATTTTTCTTAAAACTAGTAATATTTGATGAGAAAACCTATAAATTTTATCACACAAATGTGCCCATGTATTCACCTAAATTACACAAAATTATTTAATTTTCTTTTATTAGAATTTTAATTTTCTTTTATTATAGCTTGTTATCTTAACATTAGTAGGTAATTGATTATATTTTCCACAGGCAACAAAATAAAATTTAAAGTTTTTACCAATTAAAAATACTTCGTTGGTGTCGAATTCATTTTTCCTAATGCTTGTATCCATTTATTCCTGATGACTTTGTTCTTTGGCAAAGTAAATGTAGGTGTAGAATTTACGTTCTCCTTTTCTAGAAGACTATTGCTTCTGCATCCTTCGATGCACCACTTTCGAGGTATTTCTATTTATATTGAGGTAATCAAATATACTTTTATCTTTTATTTAAATATGATTACAACAAAAACTTTAAAAACACCAAATCTTACTAATTTATTAGGTGACTTCTTTTAAAATTAATGTTAGTAATGTCTTTTTCAAAATTTACCCTTGTTTCATATAAAATCTTACGAAAAAAGGAAAAAATTTATTTATATAAATTATAAGTCTTCATTTTATTTAATAACACAAAAAATTAATATAATATTTCACTAAATTTAAATTAAAATTAAATTTTAAACAGGAAATAAATTATTTTACCGCTCAGTGGTATAGCCTTCCCGTACGAAATTTATATATGGACTACACAAAAGATATAATCTGATTTTTTTATACACATGCTTAAACCTTATTCTATAGACAAAAATGCAAAAATATTAACATGCCTTGTACATTATAAGAGCTTATGTTAGATGTAAATTGCTCAATCCAATGAATAAATGAAAAAAATAAAACAAAAGAATTTTTTTTGCGTTAGTAGACTCAATAGAAATACTAATGGAGCATCTTTGTTTCTATTTCACTTACACTCCCTAAAAAATCGTATCTTGAAAAAAAAAAAATAATGAAGTCAAAAAAACCTCAGATAAGTTTCTTTCTTTGCTCCGAGCATTGTCAAACTGAAATTAAAATTAAATGCCAAATATTGTTTTTTTTTTCTTAGAAAATTACTCGCCACCATATAAAAGGTACACAAAGAAGATTTTGTTATTTTATTCTTAAATTTAGTGCAGTTTGTGAATCAAAAATCTTAAAATATTATTAAATATTGAATAATATTTAATAATATATTATTAAATTTTAAGTGTTAAAAAAAGAATATCACTTTATAAAATCTTATAAAAATATTGTAAGAAGTGAAAAAAAGAAAAAATTTCTTGAAAAAGAAAAAGGCGTATAGTTTTAAATTATTATTCCCATTTTCAAAAACAAATAATTTTTTTACGCTATATACATGTGAATATTATTCATTTCAATAATAAAAAGAAATATTTATTCAATAGAGCTTTGATTAATTCATAATTTCCAATTTTATTAGGTTTTTAATTTTGCAAAGAATTTTATATTATATCACATGTTTTTGTGTTATTTTAAATTAAAATTACTTCGGATGCCTTATTTTTACCAGTAGCGGTTTTTTTAAGCAAAATAAATTTGTGTTTAATAAAATGTAGCATACAAACAAATATTTTGGATTATTGTTTTTTCCTACAATTATAGAAATGATGAAATGAGATATATTTCCCTTTATAGAGTGAATATTTCGGCACCAAAAAAATAAATGAAGATGACCCGATAGCGTTGAATTCAGTAAGTAAAATAAAATATTAGCGTGAATTATTTATATTTTAAAATATCTTCACATGCTTAATTAATGAAAAGGGAAGAATACGACAACATACCATCTACTTTAGCCAGTAATAACCAACATATTAATTAAAAGTTCTTTAAAATTATATTGTTTTAGAGTCATTAAAATTTATATATACAGTAATACCCCGCACTTACGTACCCTTTGGGATCGGAGCGTGTACGTAAAACAAAAATGTACGTAGAATGAATCTACTACTTTATTGATGAATAATATGTTTGAAACAAACTAAAACAATAAATATATAAATAAAAAGAAAAAGAGGGATATTATGTACGCAGTTTTATACTTTTATTTCATACGTTTTTATACTATATTTAACACTTAACGTGTATTAAAGAAACAAAACAAAGTTTCGTTTTTGTTTTGTTCTTATTCCACTTTACATAGATTTTGTTTTGACTTGTTTCTACATGCATTCACTCATAACAAAATTTAGGTTTCATAGAAATAATGTACAGACATACAAAAACACGTTGTTACAAGTGTACATTCTCAATTTGGTATACATAATTTTTTTTTCCATAAATTTCAAAACCAGAAAAAATGTACTTGTACGTAAGTGTGAATCATTGTACGTATAATGGGCAATTGGGGACAAAAATGAGATGTACGTAAGCGCGAGGGTACGTAAAACGAGCGTACGTAACACGGGGTATTACTGTATTTATATTTGTTGTTATTCATATTGTTTAGAGTTGTTCAGTAAAATTATGAAACAAAACTGATAATTTAAGTAATTTTTTGACAAAATATGTTCATTTTCGAGGGTCATAAAATATTGCGATATTAAGATACTTATTATTCTATTAATATTTGCAATTTATAGAATAAATTTATTCAAGAGAAAACAAAAATATAATGGATTTTGTTTAAATTTGGTTTTTTTTTTATAGATATCTAAAATGAAGAAATATTTTGAAATATTTTTTAGTTTTTACTTTAAAAAAAATTTTTAATTTATCCTTCTTACAAATCACACATATTTTAAGAAAATAAAATAAATACACTCCTGTTACGCCTTTGACAATGCTCGGAGCAAAGAAAGATATAACTAGAAAAAATTCCTTTTATTTTATTCTAATTCGTCGGTTTTTTCAAGATACTCCTTCTTTTAGTATTTCTAATTCGTTAGTTTCTTAATTCAGTTCTTATTAATTTCAATTCAGGTAATTTAGGTTCTGCAGCATCGTTACTGTATGAAAGACCACACATAATCGAAATATAATCAGATTTTGTAGTTTCATAAGGAAATAAAATTTGAAAAACAAGCAAAATTAAAAATTTTGCAAAAATGATTTTTCTTTAAATTTATTAAATGCACGAAAATGTAGTAGAATTTAATACAGTGGTAGTAAAGTATTGACTCTCTGATTGTGAACACAACATAACATCGGGGCTGCCAATCAACAACAATTAAAAAAAAATGAGTAAAAATTTATAAAATGCTTAATTTTATATATAAAACAATTATCTGTAGTCTAACTAGAAATTTAATTCAAATTTACACTTTTTTATTTCAAATGTAACATTAGGTTGTTTTGTTGGTCTGTTTTATACAGTCAGAAAAAATTTCAGAATAACTATAAATTGGAAGTGAAACCTTTAGCAAAACAATATAAAATTTACAACATAATGTTGACGTGAGAACTTTTGCAATGTTTTCAATATTTTACAACTAAAAACTTAACGGAACTAATATGAAAAAGGAAATATAAGTCCGCATTACAGAGAGCATTACACATAGTTTATAACTTAATTTTAGTTTCTTGTTACATTTTTATGATCAAATTTTGTATAAAAAGAGGAATATTAAAACTTTCTTCAAGATTAAGAAAATAGGCTAAATACGGCTAATTACGAACCAAACAAGAGCATAGAAATTACAACCTAAATTCCTATTTTGACGTTAGCGGTTTTCGTGTGTGACCTTATATGCAAAGCATTGCCTTATATGCATTATAGTGCTGTTTTCACGGTAAATAAGAAATGGGCCACGTTTGGACTAAAGTGGCAACACTGCACAACATAAAAAAGAAAAAATTTTGTGCCGAATTTTAGTTTCATTTTTACTTGCATAAGGTTTGAACGTCCTATGTAATTAAAAGTTAAGTAAGGAAAAGAGAAATGTGCAAAAATATATCTTGCCTTAATTTTTTTTATATTTTATTATTTTCAATATAAATTTAATAATATACAGACATGTATGTACATATATAAATTTGTCTATTTGTGTATATATGTATTCATATAGTTAGTGTTTTGCTGAATGAAAAAACCGTGTTTGTAACTTGTATATAAATTTTGTTTCAAGGTCACTTAACTAATTAACTATTCGCGAACGCGTAATTTGTAAGTTAATATATTTATGCTTAAGTTGACTCTTGAAAGTAGCCTCTGTTTGACGATGTGATATCAAAAGGAATAAAAAATTTATTAAATATTTTGCTTTGTTATATTATTGTCTTTATTATATTGTAACTGCAAAGAATATTTTAGAACGTATTGAAATATTACCGTTAACTTCTGGTATCTGTATACAAATATATGTTTTGATTTTCTTTAATAATATTATCAAAGGTAAGTGAAAATATTAATGAAAATTCTACATACGTTTATTTTTAAGTTTTAGAACATTTGGAACAACATCAATCAAGTAACACACATAAAACATATGCATGAGAGTTATTAGAGCTTCAAAGTATACTTAATTTTAATTTGAATATAACAAGCTGTTTATGTGAAAATTTAACCAAATATCTAGAATTAAAAACTCGTGAAAAGTAGTTATTTATATACATACATTCACGCAGGGGCTTTCAGCGAAATCAGAGGCCTGGGGCAATTGATATTTAGGGGTCCTAATATTTCAATGCTTAGTTTATTCAATATTATTTTTAAAAATTGCACCAAGGCTTTACGCCCTTTCATATTAGAAAATTTAATAGCTATATCCAATTAATCTAAATAACGTGCTATTTCATAATTAATATTTATAGTTGTTAGTACATTTAGTCGTATCCTAATACATTGTTGATCGCAGATTATTTCTAATTCTTTCCAAAACATTTGATTTCCAACAAAGATCTCTCACCTTCTGTAACACTCACCGGCAAGACAAAAAAAAAACCTGCATATTTGCTACTAGTGATGGGCAATATCTTTCATTTCAGTGATTCGTTCCGAATGAACTACTTTTCTTTACTGACCGATTATAAAATATCGTTCAATCCTTCATTTCGTTCACTTCTCTTCTGTATATATAATTTCATGTTTTTTGGTTATAATAAATATAACCAAAGACCCACCCCACAGATTTCAAAAAATTGACTTTGGAATTATATTTAACAAGAACAGATTATACAAAGAACCTTTTTAAATATTTTAAGACGAGATGTTAACTAGTTAGATTTTCAAGGTATACTCCAAATTGAAGAAGAATCGAAATTTAGTCCAAAAAAAGAAAAACTTAGAGTACTTGATGCAATTTATTGGTGCTTTGTTTCACAAATTTTACAAAACGATTAAGACTGGAGATTTAGCAGATACTTATCCAGATTTGGTCGGAAAATCCGAGGAAGAATAAAAGATACTGTTACCTTTCTTAATTTAATTAAATTGTTAACAACTGTTTTAAATTTTTAGAAATAATTTTTACTTGAAGTTTATTCATTTGTTACCTCCATATATGTTTAATGTTTTTTATGACAATGATATGAAAAAAAAGTGCAAAATCAAATAACGTAGGAATATTCAAAAATTTTTTTTTTTCCAATGGTTGATAATTTTTCCGAAATATAATTTTTTTTTTTTTTTTTTATTGGTGTGAAAAGAAAACTTCCTTTTATTCGGAATAAAATACTTTTATTTTTCGCTAATATATTTCGTGCGCTACATACGCACTTTATCAAAGAAAATCAGCTTTGATAAAGTGCGTATGTAGCGCACGAAATATATTAGCGAAAAATAAAAGTATTTTATTCCGAATAAAAGGAAGTTTTCTTTTCACACCAATAAAAAAAAAAAAAAAAAAAAACGTAGGAATAATATAAAAAATTTTTCCTTTTCAATATAACTTAAGTCACCCAAAGTATGTCAAGTCGAATTAATTTGATGATAATACAAAAGTAATTTTTCACAAATCGCCTAACTCGAGCTACGCTTAGCAAAGTACTTTTTATAAATTTGGTATAACTACATATGTCACTTTTTTCATAATTATGAGACTACTATTAGTTGTTTTACATCAGATTATGAGTTAATTGCTTTTTTTTTAATTATCTTTCGTTCAAAAAAAAAGTTGGTTCAAAATATTTAACTTTTTTCAAAATTTAATTTGAAGTGTTAAATTCATTTATCTCGAAATCAGTAAAACAGACTTAAGTCGTTTGTGCTTGAAGAAACTGAATTATATGGCTATTCGTATTTATGGTAAATTTTAAAGAAAAGAATAAGTATGTGCTGGGTTTTGTAAATTAGTAATAAGTTTTGAATCATAAAATGCCTCTACTTATATAAGCCAAAAGGTGTAAAACATACAGAAAATTTAAAACTTTTACTTAAAAAACTGTTAAATTATAAAACAGTTAAAATATAAATAATTTCTTAAATTTAAAGAAATAAAAATTTTAAACCATTTGAGTTTAAATTTATTATTTATAAAAGAAATTGCAATTACCTTTATTTTTAATCCTCGAAAAAAGCTGAAATCCTATACTAATTTTTTAAAACTTTTGTTTAATCTATTTTAACCTTTTATTTTAATCCTTAATGGGTTAGTATGTTAACTTATAATGATTAATTTTTTTATTTAAGATATTTAGGCAAAAAAGCAATCATAATTACTATCATGATCCTTTTTTAAATATTTTATGCATAAATATAAGACATATTTATGCATAAAATTAAAGGGTAGCCTAGTTTAATGCTTCCTTTTTTTATTTCATACAGTTAGCTTATAATTCGAATCAACTAGTTCAATCTTTCAGTTTTCTTATTTAGGTAGATTATTAATTTTTTCATTTAAATTAGCTAATAGGTACGAGTGACGTGAATCGGTCAATCTTATTTGAATAGCATTGTTTTTATATTTGAATAGTTCTCGTTCGTTTTTCTTTGTATTGAATTTAGTTCTTTGATTTGGATTTAGTGTTTTATATCCCATGGCTAGAGGGTTATTTAATATGTTGTTTAATTTTAATTGTATTGGAGCTCATTTGTACTTCATGTTTCGTTTTATAAAATACATTTATTTGTGTTGTGTATTATATTGGTAAGGCAACTGATTCGGCCACTTTTATTTGTATAAATTTATAGAATAAAATTTCATTTACTTCAGGCATACACTCCTTTAATGTACATATACTCTTTTAATATAAAGATGGCTGTGCTTCAGGTCTCATTCGTTTTTATTTGTATTGGCTTTAGTATACTAATCGTTCGATTTTACTTGTATTGTAATTACATTAGGCAACTGATTCGATTACTTTTGTGTGTATAGTATTTCATTTATTTTACTTATCATTTGCTTTTATCAACATTGCATATAGGAGTTTGTTGTTCGTTTTTATGAGTATTGGATTTAGTATAATGTTCAATTTTACTTGGATTGTATATATATTAGGCCACTGATTTGGTTACTTTTGTGTGTATAGTATTTAATTTATTTTACTTATCATTTGCTTTTATCAGCATTGCATATAGGAGTATATTGTTCGTTTTTATGAGCGTTGGATTTAGTATATTGTTCAATTTTATTTGTATTGTATAATATTAATACAGAAGGAAATAAGAAAAAATATAAAATGTATATCAACTACCAATTGTAAATAAAATATGTGTGTGCAGTAAATTTTTTTAATAACTAAAAAAGAGAATTGGAATTCTTAGTGAACGATTCATTTTTGCAGAATTGAACTAATCAGCTAAGTTCAGTGAAGTGATTCGTTCTTCAAGATTAGTTTGTTAGCGAACGACACATGACTATTTGCTACATTAGGAAATATATTAACAAATCCTAAATCGTTAATTTTTTTAAATAAGTGTTCTGGTTTTGTGCTTAGTAGGTTAGGTTGGGTTAGGTTGCGCGGCCCCCCGAAGGGTACACCTAGGCCACTGAGGCGCGTTGTGATGCCGCTGGATCACCCTCTCTCCCTCACTAGAACCAGCCCGAGTTGCTCAGAAACCGGTCAAGGTCCCTAGCATTTACATTCGCTAGGTCCGTGGCCCGCTCGAAAAAGTGGGACCCAAGAAACATCCGCCTGGAGTTCGCCAACGCCGGACACGAGCATAGTAGGTGGGTCACTGTTTTCTCCTCCTCCTCGTCACAGCAGCTCCTACAGAGATCGTTTGCGGCGCGGCCCATCCTCCTGGCATGATCGCCAATCAGACAGTGTCAAGTCTAGCTTTGGCCACAACTTCCTCGCCGCGTTACACCCAGTTCCATTCGCCCATCTGAGATTGGTACGTTTCACCGCCGCACTGCGTAGCAGCAGCTTGTGAGTACTTAGAGGTATGCCCAGGTTCTGGTTTTCAGGTAGGATTCCGAGGGTCGTTCCATGTCTCGCAAGCTCATCCGCCTTGCAATTCCCTGAGATTCCACTGTGTCCGGGAACCCAAACCAAGTTTAACTCGAATTGCCTCGCCATCTCGTTAGGAGACGACCTGCATTCAAGGACCGTTCTGGACGTAGAGGTCTCCGACTCCAGCGCCCTTATTGCGGCCTGGCTGTCCGTGAAGATGCTAACACTGCACACGAACACCATATGCTCACCAAGCCAGCGCAGAGCCTCCCCGATTGCGGCCATCTCTGCCTGAAAGACAATGCAGTGGTCCGGCAGGCGGAAGGAGAGTTCAACTCCCAATTGCTCGGAGTAAACACCCCCACCCACCTTTCCGTCAAGTTTGGATCCATCCGTGTAGAAATGGACGGAGCCATCCCTGACCGTCCTGCAAGCTTTGCCTCGGCAGGACCGAAATTCCTCACGAATTAGAGCACGGGAGGAACCAAGTCAATTGACCCCACCCCGTGCCCCCAGTCCGCAAAAATCGAAGCGTGACCCGTGGGGCAACACGAACACCTTATAGCCCTCCCCCTCCAGGAGTACTAGTAACCGAATGATTACCAGGCTCCAGAGAAGAGGAGAAAGCACACCCCCTTGGGGGGTGCTCCTTCCAACAGAGCGCTCAATGCATGACCCGCCAAAACTGGCCCTGATGGATCTGCCCGACAGCATATTCCCCATCAGGGCAGTCAGGGAGCCATGAACTGAGAGGTCCGACAGAGCCTGACTGACATTGTTGAAAACGCAGCCACGTTGTTGTCTAGGAAGGCAGCCAGTGTGTATTCCCCGCAGTTGAGGGACCCTTCAATGTAGCGTATCAAGGAGTGTAGGCCCGTTTCCATTGCCCTACCGTTCCGATACGTATGTTGTGCCGGAGACACCCACCTCGGGTTAAGGTTGCTCTCTATGTATGCGTCTATCAATTTTTCTAATATTGTTAGTAGAAACGATGTTAGACTAATTGGTCTAAAGTCCTTTGGACAGCTGTGATAGCTCCTCCCAGTTTTAGGAATGAAG